TTTTTTGCTTGGAGCAATTGTGAATGAAGCCACTATCAACATTCGTGGACAGGCTGGGTGTGAACATGAGGGTTCTTCTCTCTTCGGCGAACACCTGGAGCGACATCCCCAGCCCATGTGTGCAGTGCAGTTCGCTCTAGGAAATGGCCACAGTCCTTCCCAAAGCGCCAACACCATTTTGCATTTCCACCAGCAGCACACAAGAGCTCCAGTGGCTCCACGACCTCCCCATCCCTTGTTAGGAGGAGGCGTGACTACGGACTCTAGAGGGACCTCCGGGAATCTTGGCCTTCCTGTTCCCCTCCAAGGCTTCTGCACTTGCTGTTTCTTCTTCTGAAACAAACTTACCACGTGCTAGGGTGGCTCACATTAGTATTTGATTTTAAACCATCACCTGTCATTTTGGCCGTGGTGGTGCACACCTGTAATCCCAGAACGTGGGAGGCTGAGACAGGAGAATCACTAAGAGTTCAGGCCAGCCCACTCTACAGAGTGAGTTTAAGACCTACCTAAAATATGTAGGGAGATACTATCTCAAAAACTAAATAAATAAGCCACCATCTCTCTGCACACCTAAAGACCAGCTAAAAACACAGACACGGCAGTCCATGCTTATAATCCCAGCTACTCAGAGACAGAGGCAAGAAGGACCACAAGTTTGAGCCCAGCCTGGTCAACTTAGTGAGACCCTGTCTCATAAAAAAAAAAAAGCATGCTGGGAACTAGCAGAAAGAATCAAAACTGGGATCTCGTCTTATTAAAAAGCTTCTGCACTGCAAAAGAAACCTTCAATAGAACTGAGACAACCTGCAATGTGGGAAAAAGTTTTACCAGCTGCTCCTCAGACAAAGGACTATTATCTAGAATATATAAAGAACTCAAAATAATCACCCCCCCCAAATATAACAACCCGATTCAAAAATGGGCATCTGAAATGAACAGACATTTCTCAGACAAAGAAGTAAAAGCAGCAAGTAAATATATGAAAAAATGTTCCACATCACTGGTCATTCGAGAGATGCAGATGAAAACAACACTGAGATTTCACCTCACCCCACAAAGAATGGCTGCTATCAAGAAATCAAGCAATAATAAATGTTGGCGGGGTTTGGGGAGAAAGGAACCCTTCTCCATTGTTGGTGGGAGTGCAGACTGGTGCAACCACTATGGAAATCAATATGGAGATACCTCAGAGAGCTGGGATTAGAGGTTCCTTTTGACCCAGACATCCCTCTTCTGGGTATCTTTCCAAAAGAATTAAAAGAATCATACCAGAGGGATATATGCACACCCATGTTTATAGCGGCACAGTTTGTGATAGCTAAAACTTGGAAACAGCCCATTTGCCCATCACTTGGAAACTGGATAAAGAAGATGTAGTTTTTCTATAAAATGGAATACTACTCAGCCATAAAGAATGAGAAAGTAGATTCATTCATAGGAAAATGTATACATATTGAAGACATACTCCTAAGTGAAATACATAAGTCACACATGTGTAAATACCGAATAGTTTCTTTGGTGTGAATAAACTATAATAATGCATAAGATCCTAATGAGATAACTGATATTGTGAAATGGGAAGAAAAGGGCTAACGGTGTAGGCAAAGTGGGAAGCGTAGGAGAAAGGTAATAAGGGAAAGGAAAAAAATCGGAGAAAATGAAAAAATGTTTGTAAATGGGGAGGGTAGGAGGGGGTGAAGGAGGGCAGGGACAAGGGGAAAAAATGAGAACCAAGACCTGTCACGTAAAGGTAAAGATCCCAAAGATGAATGTAACTGTACTGTATACCTAAAATGTACCAAAAAACTCAATGAGAAAAAAAAGAATAAAAAAAGCATGGCGGTGTAGCTCAGTGTGAGGCCCTGAGTTCAATACACAGTACTGACAAAAAATGTAATTATAAAACTATACTTTCATCCTGCATTCTTCCTTGTACCCTGAGTCTTAATTGCTATCAGTAATTACATGATGCTAAAAACATTCTCATTTGCAATGTAAGTATATTGAAGACAGAGTGTGTCTTTTGATACTAAACTCTGAACACACATACCTTATGCTGGACCCCAAAGCATTAATGACTGTTGTCTTCACCTTTCTCTGAGGACACCGTGCACCTCAAAGGCCCCTCATTCGTGAAGCTTTTCTGTGACCCGCCCTGTGCGCCAAGACTGTGTGCTCTTTACAGATACCGGGTTGGCATCTCCATTGCCTAAGTAGAAAGGAAGCAAGAGTCGTGGTAATTTACTTTTGGTACGGTCCTGCCTAAGGAAACTAATTACTATGTTTAATTTTTTTTAAATGTGTAAGGAGCCCTCAATTCATATGTAAATAATCAAAACTCTAGTTCTCATTTGCCTGTATTTTTATTTTTCTATGTCAAATCTATACTTTATATGGGGTCAGTAACCCTCCAAATTTCAGCCATAATTTTGTCAAGTTCTTCATTTTCTCTTCCTCATTTCCCAACCCTCAGTCAATTGAAAACATTTAAGAAACTATGGCTTAGGAAGAGCATGTTAAAATTGTTTGCCCAAAATGAAAGCTGAAAAATCAGTTCCTTTTTAAACCAATAGATCTTCAGAAATTGCTTCTGGAAAGAGAGACAGTTTGGAGAGAAAAGATAATGCTGAAGATGCCTGCCAACAATGACATTTAATGGGCATATGCCAACATGGTTTATTGTCTTTCACCATAGAAAAAGGATTTCAGGACACATCAGTGAGAGCCACACTTTACTAGACAGAATTAGAAAAATAAGAAAGGGGTTTGAAACTGAGGACCTAAAGGAGGCATAGCCGTGATGACCAGACCGGCCCATTATCAAGAGAGTAACACTACGGCTTCAGAGTGGGGAAGGGTCTGGCAAGCTCACGGCATGGCTTGGGTTCGGGAATTTCCTCCTAGTGTGAGGTATGGACCTTTTTGGAGGTAACCTTGCGCCCCCTGCAGGCAGAGTGAGGGCACTACACTGGATCCCGGTAACAAGAACAGGGCAGAAAGGGCGCACTGCACACAGTAAGTTAGCGAAGAGGTGGGGGGAAGCCTCCATCTTTGGAAGGCGAGAGTTCACGGACTAGGGCCTGAGATCGTAGCTGTCCTGCCCCTAGAGGATACCTGTCCTACTGCACTGGAAGTACCCTGCAGGGTCGCTCCCTGACGCCTGAAGCAGCTCTGTCCACCTGACTGCAGTCCTGCTTCTTGAAGCCCCACATCCCGGACCATCCTGCACCTCACTGGGCTTCCCTACAACCAGAAGGCACAGACTCAACGAGCAGGTGGCCAGTGCTGCCCATCTGCCAGCCACAAGTCATGTGTCGATGCCTTGATTTCATCACATGCTGGAAATTTCAACTTTCCTCAGGACAACTAAGTGAGATTCAGTAGCAATCCCTAGATGGAGAGGCAAGAGAACCAAAGCTCAGAGGCCGTGGTGGCTGTGATCACGTAGCAGAGATTCATATCCAGGTCTGCCCACTCCCGGCCAACACTGCTGGCCAAACCAGCAAGCTGCTCCATGTCCTTGGCCAATCCACCTTCGGGGATTTCTCTTCAGGTAAGAACTTAGCTTCTGGGTTTGCCTTCTAACAGGTAAACAGGTGCATCACACTGCTTCTGTTTACCAAACTGCTTTCCAGAATGCTGCCCTTCACAGCCATGGGATGGATGCGTCTATTGTGCTACACCTGTGTCATCACTGGCTATTATCGCTTAGAGACTTAAAAACTCATGCCATTGCTCAAATTTCCAGGTCTTTGAGCTGTTTTTTTAAAGGTCTTAGACATTTCTTCGTGTTTGCTAGCTAATTGTGTTACTCTTACTGTGTAACTTCACCCCTAGTGAGATGACACACATCTTAAAACTGGTGCTCCATACAGACTGGCTTCAGCTTCTGTAAAACTGAGGGCCAGCCACACTTAGACTGGTCCACAAGCAACCTGGAAAAGGAAATATGACAGGAAAAGCAAGAAATAACTTAGTCATATTCTAGGACATTTGTTTTACAATCTCATTTTCTTGAATGTAAGTATTCTAAGGAATGGATTGTTGGCATATACAGATGTAGAAAGCTTTATTAGGTTGAATGATATTGCACCGTCATTTCTATAGGTCAAATCTCTATAGCAGCAATGACAAACTTTTAAAGACTGAGTGTCCACGCTGTAGTAAAAGGCCCACTTACTGCAAAATGTCAACATCACAATGAGACCTGAACATTGAGAGTTTTGTTTAGAAAAAACAACTGCCATCCGATGCTTGGCTGTTGGGGTGACTCAGCTTGCCTGCTAACAGGACTCTGCATTCCTGCTAAGGATCATAGGCATTTGGTTTGCTACCAGGGACCTACACTATCAAGGGCCTCACATAGTAATTGCCATCTATCAGAAATGTTAGCCATGGATGTCATGTCATGTTTTCTAGTAGTCACATTTAAAAACTAAAGACACGTAAAATTAATTGTAATGTATTTGATGTATAAAGATATTTCAACTTGAAATCAACATAATGACAAAATAACATCATTCTTTTTTTCATAGTGTTTTTGCAATTAGGTATTTTATACCTTGAGGCCTGTTCAAGCCTGTCGGGCCAAGGATTACATCCACAGGAAGACAGGGAAGTCTAGAGCAACAGTTACAGGTCATTGTTATCGTTTGTTTCAATGTCCCCCCAAAAGCTTCATGTGGATGTGGGACTTTCCTTTTCAGAGGTAGTTGAATCTGGAATGTGTGATGCTAGGGTTAAGGGTGTGTGATTACCAAACACTACACGGGATTAGTTTTGCACCACCCTAATTCCAGAAGTCTGAATAAAAGGGGCAGACAGATGCTACTAAACCTGTTACCTTTGCTAACTGGTGCGTGATGTGTTGTTTCTCCTCTGGGATGCCTGTCTGTCAACCACTCTGCTTTGGAACCAGCTAATTACGGACTGAAACTTCTATAAACTGTAAGCCAAATAAGCCTCTTCTCCCTCAAGTTTGGGTGTTGAGTATTTTGTCTGAGCAATGAGAAAAGCCTTCCTCTAATACTCTACCCTACTCTTTACTAGGAATATAAACACTTCTTGCCTTTTTGTGTGGACTACAGAAAAGTTACCTTGAAGTCTATTTCTTTAATCCAAATATTAAAAGGTATACATTAGCTTACAACATGAATTAAAGTCTACATTCATAGGTTAGCTAAAAACATGAAATTTAAAACTAACGCCCTTCCATATTCCATTTCTTCTTTATAAGAATACTTTTTGTCAATGTTCTTGTACTCTTTGAGTAACTATTCTGAAGATTACGATACACCATGTATTGTTTTTTTACTATTTTGTTATGAAATTTTGTCTTAAAAGTAAATCTCCGAGGGCAATCCCGTTTCCCCAAAGCATGACAATGTTCTCTGGCTGTGAAGCTGCAACTCCTGCCCCGAGCCTACACACTCGTGTGCGAAGTTCAGTGTTTGCTGAGCCACAATGAGCAAAGCCCCTGCCGTCTGCCAGCTTGGCATCCTCGGCCTGCGCAGGGATGCACTGCCACCGTGGGCGCTGTCACGATGAAGCCAGTTTCCACTGCCACCACCGACATCCAACAGCTGTGACCGCTACACCTCACCGTCCACAGGAGTCACCTATGTCCAACAAAAGGTATTCTAGGTTAACAGTGACAAGTGCTGAAGGAAAACAACAAAGAGCACAGAGGCAGGACGTGAGTGACCCATCTGTGGGGAGCTGGGGAACAATGGCTCAGAAAGCCTCCTCGAGGTGGTGCCCCGCAGCCGTGGGGTAAGATGCAGTATTCACACCAGGCAAAGCAAACAGCACGTGCCAGGCCTGGGCGTGAGTGAGTCTACCTGACAGTGTCAGAGGCAGAGCACAGTGGGGGCACCAGGTGGCAGTAGGACTTCAGACTGTGCCTTAGGGAGCAGCCCAGTGAATGTGGGAGGAACCCACAGGGCCAGGCAGGAGCAGCATGGCCTTATTCAGGGCTGGAGAGTAAGTTATTCCCTGCTGGAAGCATTCCACAGGGGCAAGGTGACAACCAGTGCACTTGAACAATGTGACAGTACCCTATAAATTAAACAGAAACCGAAATAGGCCTTGGCTGCCTATCCTGATCGCCGGAGCTGCATACAGAAATCAGACTGCCCAAATGTCATGGATGGTAACAACAGTGGTATGAATTGGTGTAAGTAAAAGTACTATGTATATGCTTGAATTAAATTTTAAAAAATCAGAACAGCTTTCTGAAACACAGCTTTGGCAGTGAGTAAAGTCACAATAAAGAATAATACACTCTTAACTTTCCATTTTTTCCTAAAAAAGGGAGAGTCCATGTCTTATAGACATTCATTTAGATGTTACACATTTTTCTTATGTTTTCATTGAAATATTTTTTACTTTTATCATTATTGCCTATTACTCTTACAAAAACCTTGGGTTTTGGGCTGAGGATTTAGCTCAGTGGCACCATGCCTGCCTGGCAAGCACATAGTCCTGAGTTTGATTCCCAGTGCCAAAACAAAAAACAAAACAAAAAACCTTGGGTTTCAATGCACGTATTTTATCAAACCCCCACCCATCAAGACATCAGGATTTTTCTAAAGTGCTAAAATGCATATGCTCCCCATAACTTTAGGCTAGAAATATAATGGACAGAAGAATCCTCAAGGTCACCTCACATCCTGAGAGTCCCAGGTTTCATGACAGGGGAAGAATTTTGCTAACAAACAAGTGAATTAAAATCCACGCAAATTGTGCTCACATCAGCAGCACATAGACTAAAATCCGGGAGAATACACTTTAAATCTTCACCTTCTTGTCCTTACTTCTGTAACATATCGTAACACAATATTCTTATTCTGAATATGCTTATTCAAAAATCATGGTCACAAGCCCTGAGAGAGTGTGCTGTAAAGTTTTGTTTTCATAATTCGTAGATAACTATTATTTGCTAATTTTTTATTCTATCTTTGCTTTCCTTTGTTTCATCTGTCTTCTTTTCTTTCCACAGGTTTCCAAGGACGATTCCTAAAAAGAGGATTATCCCTATTGTTCGGTTGGAGGTGAATTTATCCCAACAGTCTGCAGGGTTGTGGATGTCCAGAGTATGGATCTGTAAGGGAAAAGCAAAGTGCTGCGTTAGGACCTCGTCTGGACCCTGGGGCATCAGAAATAAATAACCAATGCAGACAGAAACAGTAATTAGTTATGGAAGACCCTGCTGTACCCCAAACTGCCTCCCAAGAAAGGAAATCTACATATCTGTCACTGGAATCAGCTAAGGTCTGTCCTGATTAGGAGAGTCTGGCAGAGAGATGTGCAACTGCTTTGAGAGACACTCCATGCTACTCAGTTCTCCAACAGGAGGAACATCCTTAACCCCCAATCCACAGTGCTCCAAGATCCAGCACTGACATGAGAGCTGACAGCAAAGTATGGTGGAAAGTTCCGCAACTCACGTGACAACACAGCCAAGATAAGGTACAATGAAAATGTTGTATAAAACTGCCTTCAGGCTACGTGAATAAGCTTAGTGCACTGAACGTGAATGTATTTTGTGTTTAGACTTGGGACAGCTTGTTATGTGTGAGACCTAACTGAGCCAAAGTGACTCCAAGTTGGCTTGCTAATGACCCCAGAAACTGTAGCTTTTCCCTCTCTTATTAAACAGTGGGGAAAGCTGCTCAAACTGCAAAAAACCTTTCTTTGCTATTTGCAGGCTATGTTAAAGGTAACCATAAAATACTTCCCCCATAAGATAAATGAATATGTTTGAAGTTTATTTACCCCCTTGCAGCTGTGTAAAAACCCTATGTTTGAACTTCTTTGTTTGAAAAACCCTATAAAACCTATGCACAATCCTGTAACAGGGCTTCACTTCTCTTAGAGAGTGGAATCCGCATGTGTGTAATAAACTTCTTTCAATTTTATCTGTGTCCTGGTATTTGGTGTTCTCTCGCTGGCTTGGTATAACATTCTGTATATGTGAATATTAAAAAACAAAAAACAAAAAACTCCAAACCTAAAACCCTGCTGGCCCCAACCCTCTCAGACAAGGTACACTCACACTGTATCCTGTCTTTAGCAAGCCCTTCCCTATGCAGAGTAATACAAAGCCAGCCTCCTTGCAATGCTCACCACCAGGTGCCAGCTCTGCTCTCTGGAGCAGTCTCTCAAGGGAGAACAACTTCGTCTGGGCAGGATGACGTTTGTGCAGGGCTGTCTGGTGCACTGGAATACACTGAGCATTCCCAGCTCTCATTCACTAAATAATAGTTTACCATGACAGCCAAAGGTGCTCATGTGTTTCTAAATCTCACTCCTATCCACACTTGAAGGGGACCCGGAGACCCTGATCTGCAGCTGTTGACCTACAGCACCCAGCCCCCTCTCCCTGCGGAAGTCCTGTGAATATCTCACAGGTCTGTCTTACTCTGCCCTGAGGAAACAAAAGACCATGCCCATCCTAAAACACTGCATTGAGGGCTGAACAGAGGACCACAAATGTAATTAGAATATAAAGTGGTGGGTTCCACGTAGTTTTATAATATTTATGACTGTACTCATAATTTCTGCCTTCCTCTGCCATCTAATATTTAAATACCAATGTGTGTCCACTATCAGCCCCAACAATCAACTGATGATGACAGCCCGAGTTCAGCTAAAGTTACAGCCAGAGAGAGGCTGTGGAATTCTGGGAAGGAATCCAGAGAATCACCGATTCATATTGTTAGGGCTTGTGATGAGGGAACAGTGCAGGAAATACAGCCTATCTGGCTCTAGGCTCCTTCAACCCTGCAGTACAAGTCTGGCCTACATTGTTGGGTACTTTACAAAAATCTGTATAAAATACAGTGTTTCCTCAGTTTATGAACGCTTTTATTTACAAACAATTTGGTTCACAAACAGAAACACTGGGTAAAATTTTGCTTTTGTGTGAAAACTCTGCATTGGGTGACGAACACAGCCATGGCCATGTTTCCCCCCAGAACAAGAACAAGAACATGGCCATCTTTTCCAGTACTGTGGATGAATTCAGTTTGTGAACTGTGGATCAGCTAAATACAGGTTCACTAACATCTGCTGGTTCTATTCAAAGAAAATAACAGCAACATTCCTACAAAATTAGTCCATCTAATCTGATTTAATCAAAATTAGATATAATCACTTTATGAGTCAGTAACAGAAGCTTGTGGGGGCAGGGAGTGTGGTGCTGAGTGAACACCTGAAACGCCCATTTCCTGTCTTCTAGGCAGAACCCTGACACCTTTAACATTTCATTTCATATCTTCACTGGCACTGCTTTCTATGCCTGTGAAAATCAAACTTCTGAAAGATTAGTTTTTAAACCATAACCAGAAACTCAGATTTCATTTTTAAAAAGTAATTCAATTCAACCTAGACATTGTTTCTGATATTGCTGAAAATTTTCCAGATACATGAGAAGTAATCCCAGAAAAACAGAGAAATCTAGACTTAGGTTTCTACTATTTATTTAAAATAACACAGCTTTTTCATGACAAACTGGGTCTGAGGAAGAGAAGTTCAAACCACAACAGGGCAAGAAGTTGTCTGAGAAGTTCCCTGCCTTGTAAACAAAGACAGAATCCTGTTTACATAATCGATGCCAAGGGAAAAGAAGAAAAAGGCCAAACCTGGTGAGCCAAGTGGGCTCCGATGACAAGGAGAGCAGCATAGTAGGGAGGGGTCTGGGCACAGCTCACTCCTGCCAGGCTCAGTGCCCCCAGCATGGCCACGCTGAAGCCCCCAAGCCACTGCCTGGTGTTCTCCTTGAACAGCAGTGCCGTGGACTTGAGCCCAATCAGAGCATCGTCTCTTTTGTCCTAACAGCAGGAAATAATAAGAAACACTGTTTTATGGTTCATTCTCATACCATAAAGTTCACTATTTTGAAGTGTACAGTTTGGTGGTATTTAGAGTAGTCATAAGGTGCATAACCGTCACTAATATCTGTTTTAGAACAGGCAGAAACACCACACGGTGAGAGAGAACAGCAAGCCTGAAACCGTCTGGACAGAAGGGCCATGCAGGCCAAGCAAAGTGACACATTACTGCGCAAACTTACTCAGCTCAACTGTCACCAGCTATGCTGTTTTTGCATCGTACCGTGATTCCTAACGACAATCCTACTAAATGAGAGTTAAAGCTCTCTTCTGCCTCTGAGTTCTCGAAGTAATTTCTTACTGCAGTTTCAAGCTCGCTCAAACCACCGGTGTATACAAATGCTCACTCAGCACACTCATGGCCATCCACTGACACTCCCAGCCAAACTTAGCCCCTGCCATCCCTCCAACCTACCCTCTACACAGTTCGTCTGGACCATGACTCCCATCTAGTTACCTGGTCTTTCCCAGTAAATGCATTTTGTATTCAGGACTGTACTTACCTGAAAAACTCATACTCATGAAGTGGAAGTGATCAGAGAATAATGCTACTTATAATCATGAAAACTCAGTAACAACTTCAAGGAACAAAATGGACATAATGTTAATTTGAAATAATTATAGCATGCCAAGTCAAGGGACTATTACACAGTCTCGAAGGGAAAAGGACAATAAAAATAAGGGAAATCTTTATTAGCCACCCTACTTGAGAAAGCTACCCCATGCAATGGTCAGAGATGGCACAGAGGGACAGGGGAGCATGACAGTAAAAAGCAGTCTCTGGAGACCAGGTCTGAATCTCAGACCTGCCATCCACTGTGACGAGGACAAGTCACTTTTCTACCCATTTTATCCGTAAAACAGGGACAATAAAAGCACCTTCCTTGCAGGTCCTTATGGGTATTAAATCAGTATTTGCAAAGTATTTAAAACAATGTAAAGCCTTTAAAACAGTGTCTGGTATACTTTAAATATTACTTAAATGCTCGCAAGTAAAACAGAATGAGTTGAACTTTTGGGTAAACACAGAAAAACATGAAACACAACTGTTTTGTTGGAGCCAAGGAATTGTGATTTTCTTAAGACTTCCCCCTTATTTTGGCTATTACTGAATAGTCCTTATAAAACAACAATATCTAAACCAAAGAAAACGTATTTCTTCTTTACCTGATGGGCATAAATAGTATCATAGATCAGGGTCCACATAACTCCAGCCAAGTAGAGCGGCAGGCACACAGAGGGGTCACAGGAGCCCTTCACGGCTGACCAGCCAAGCAGTGCACCCCAATTGAAAGTCAGGCCTGCAGAGGGGAACAGAGCAGAAGTGGGGTGGACGCAGGTTCCAAGGGAGGGGCCGGTGGGCTGCAGGCCACCAGCTCCATTTACTCTTCTCAGCCCGTTAGTTCCATCTCACAAGAATGGAAATGGGCTGAGTTTAGCTAGAATTAGCCTAACGAGCTACTAGCAAGAGCAGCTCCTGCTGAAGAGAACAGGACCTTAACTGAACATTTATCCCACCTGCGATGGTGTTTGGCTCAGTCACCAGACTGCGGCGCTGGAGTTGGAACTCAGACCTATGGGACTCAGAAGCCCGTGTTCTTTCCATCTATGAACAAACAGGAACACTTTCACACTGTACAGCCTCCTCCCCTCCGAGGACGACAGGGAAATGCCCACGATGGTGACAACTGCCAAATCTCCACTGCAGGCTCCAAAGCAGAGACTGAGCGTCCAGCTGGACCTCCCTGCTTGTGAGTCCCTCTGGCACTTTAAGCCCAACCCGTCTTCATGTCCTCTCCTGAACCCTTTTCCTCTTCTCCAGGCAGCTGCTCTCCACTGACTCTGCCTCTGCTCTGAGGTCCCGGGCATCTGTCACCCAACGGGGTACTGAAGTGGCCCCCAGATCTGCTGTCTTGTCCTCTAGCTCCTTAGAGATGGTGAATGTGTTATAATCCTTTTTGTTTCCCAAGTACTCAGTGTAATTCCCAGCACAATGTAAAAGTAGAGGTTCAATAAATGTTTGAATTAATTATACCAGCTTTTTAATATTATCTTGTAGTCTGGAAATGACGTTTCTCTTACCAAAAAACTTTCAGGTCAGCTAAAAATATAAATTTTGACCTTTTTTTTAACACTGAAAAGAGCATCCAATGGAAGCATCTTAGGAAAGGATAAACATTTCACCACAACTTTCCTGCAAGCCAGGCTCTCATCAGTTTCCTGGACTGTTTTTACTCTTTTATTTACTAGGAGAGTGTCACCAGAATAACTTTAGGACTATTCTACAGTCTTCTAGAAACAGAATAAGAGAGCCAAGGAGCAAATACTTCTGTAATAAAGTTTACTCAGCTATCCACCTCTCTTTTCACCAGCAATTACTGTACTAAATACCTGCACAGATGCTGGGCCACGTATAAAGGATGTTCATCTTCTAGTCACTTACAATTTACTAATGGAGAGACTGGGAGGTGGGCTAATGCTGTTAAAATTAAGGGAAACACAGGAAACTCGAGACAGACTTCTTCCTGGGAGATCTAAGGAGGCAGCACAGAAGGGGGCAACTGTCCACGCCACGCTGGCAGAGCTTCCTACCCTGTGCCCATGTTTTTCAGGGTACCTTGACCAACCCTCTCTTTGTGACACATCTAAATCTTTAAAAAGCACTTCTTCCAGGCGTAGTGGCACACGCCTGTAATCCCAGCACTCAGGAGGCTGAGGCAGAAGGATTGCTGAGAGTTTGAGACCAGCCTGGGCTACATAGTGAGTTCCATGGCAATCTGAACTACAGTTTTGAGACTCTGTCTCCAAACAAATAAACAAACAAACAACAACAAAATATAAAGCACTTTAAAAATACTGTAATGATAATCACAGAAAGAGATGCAAGGTTTTTTTTTAGCAAAGAAGAATGACTGGCACCTTTTATGAATATTCTTGGTTTGGAAAGTTTCATGATGGTCTACACATTTTTGATATATAGTACAGAAAAGCACAGTCTGAGCATGTTGAAGTTATTTCAAGCTCACCCAAGGCCAGCTGAGGCCAGTATGTGATTCTCTTCATCAGGGGGTAGGTGATGACGAGAAGTAATGATGCTGCTCCCAGAGCTATACTGAAAATAGGAAAAGCGGGATTAACGTCACAGTCACTCGGGAATCACTAATTACTGGAAGACATTATAATACTATTTGGAAATTTTTTAAGAACTTAAATAATGGTTTTTGTTATGCAAAATTCTATCCCTGGACTTTGGCTTCCCCTATTACAAAGGATGATTAGAAAAATATTTTAAACAATCAAACAAAAGAATAGCTGGCACATACCAATGAGTGATTTACACACGTTAGTTCGTTACAATCATCACAATGACCCCAGGACACAAGTAGTTTTACTCTGGTTACATCTTTCTGTAATTTGCTGTTGTCACATAACTTTTCTGTAACAGAGCCAAGGCTGAAACCCAGATCTGGAGGCCAGCCTGCTCATCACCACGCAGCCTTAAACGATCTGAAACCCTCAGTGTCTAGCAGATGAAACCTCCTTCCTACAAGTGAGCTGGGGTCAAAAGATCCTTTTTCACAATTTGTGTTAGTTCTCAAGAAAAGGCAGACGTGGAAAACATAAGATGCTCTTTAGTACCTGATGCCCAGCTCACAGCACTCTGGGAAGAACCTCCCAGGGTGTTTTGGAGACACCCCTGCTGTCAGCGCAAGGCCTATGTAAACCTCTGGCCAGGCGTATTTGCTAATGGCCCTCCCCATTGGGTATTTTTTTTTCTCCTCCTCAAAGCACTTCATAAACAGGCAGCTGATGTACAAAAGCTTAGTTGTACCTCTATTTAAGAGACACAGGGAAAAAAAGGAGAGCGAGAGAGACACAGGAACAAGCGTTCCCATTTTCCTCTTGTCACTGATTAGTTACATGGCCTGTTACTGATTAGTTACAGCACAGGGGAAGGACACAGTTCTTTTTGAAAAATAAGTCTACTTACTTGTGTTTCCCTGCACTTTGGGAATAACCTCCAGCATAAACTATACATATACACATCCATGTATACAAACTTAGAAAGCTTTACAAGTGCCTGTGTCCCTTAGGGGATATAAAATGCAAATATCAAAGACAGTTTCAAATATAATCAATGGTGATCTTTTAACTCTTTTGGCTGAAAGCATGATAGGTTTTTGTTGTCACTGTTTCATTTTGCAATACTGGGGATTGAACCCAGGGCCTTCTGTTCTTAGTACCTCTCCTCCTATTTTTAAAATTTTAAAACAGGGTCTCACCAACTGCTAAATTGCCTAGGGTTCAACTTGAAATCCTCCTGCCTCAGTCTCCTCCCAGAATGCTGGGATTACTGGGTGTGTGCTGCGTGCCTGGCTGGCTGAAAGCATTCTGTGGCAGATTTTACAGTGTGGAAGATCACTGTATTTATGCTTCATAACTTACAGATCCTGGACATGCAGCCAATAAGCAACTTTAGTGACGAAGGTTTTTCTATTTTACTTTATTCCTACTTTCTCTAGCTCAAAGGAGTCCATAACGCTCAAGAAAAACACATTTAAACTGGCGTGGTGGCGCACACCTGTAATCCCAGCACTTGGGAGGCTGAGGCAGATGATTACTGTGATCTTTGAGACCAGCTTGGGCTACATAGTGAGTTCCAAGTCAGTCTCAACTACATAGTGAGACCCTGTCTCAAAAAAACAAAAAACAAACAAACAAACAACAACAACAACAACAACACATTTAATATACCTGTAGTAATTCAGACACAGAAGAACACCCAGTGCCAAGGTCAGCTGTCCCCCGAGAAAAACCAAGGACTGAAAAGCTGAAATGTGTCCAGCGGCTACTGGGCGATTGGCTGTTCTTGTAACCTTAACACAGAAACACAGAGAGAGATGCCTTAGCCTAGTGCTCAGGTCACTTAAACATTTAGTCAGGAGGCTTCCTTGCATAGGCATTGAGGGACAAATATGAGTAAAGGATGAAATGAACACTGGAAGTGCTGTCAAGAATTAAAACTGCATATTTAAAATAGCACTGAAAAGAGCTAAAAATTCCCATCACTCATTCCCCCTTTCATTTGATTTCCCAACCCCATCTCCAAACAAACAAAACAAAGCAACCTTTTTTTTCTAGCTCTTTAGCTACTCAGCACAGCGAACAGTAAGCTCCATTTCCACAAAGAAATGAGGCCCAAGAACAACGGGCACCCTCGGGAGAGGAGAAACTGCAGCAGGCGTCGGGTAAGGCTAACACAGCAGCGCTTCAGTCAGACATCAGAGGTGGAGAGAGACCATGTCATCGGGGTTTGCAAGTGGAGCGCTTTCGCCAGCTACTTCAGAACGGTCTGAGAGAGCGTACTGACCGCACTCCTGTGGTGGGGTGAATTCCCCGTGAAACTAAGTAGGCAAATCATTTGCACTGCGTGTTTTTACTTTGTAAAATATGATTAGCCTAAACTCAACCACAAATAAAGGATATTGCCAACATTTTTGACATTGCTAGAAATTAAGACAGGATCAGGGATTAGAAAACCTAGCATCTGGGCTGGGGATTTAGCTCAGTGGTTCTGCTGCCGCCTCACAAGCACAAGGTCCCAAGTTCAATCCCTGGTACCAAAAAAAAGAAAGAAAAAGAAAAAGAAAAGAAAGAAAACCTAGCATTTGAATTCTATCACTTACTGGTAAATTATTTAACCTCACCATGGCTTACTTATCTTTTAAGAGGAAATACAGAGGAAGAAGGAATAATAGCAACTACCTTACAGGGTAAGTAAGTACACTGTCTCGGGTACACAAATACACAATCACTTATCTATTGTTAATTTAACATTTTTTTGTATAGTTGATATCAAAGGCTAGCACACTGTGGCCTATGGGCCGAATCCAGCCTACTGCATGCATGTATGTATATAATACAAATGAAAATAATTTTTAAAAGGATAATATATGAATATGAAATTCAAATTTCAGTGTCTACAAATAAAGCTTTTTGAGAAACACACCCTCAGCCATTTTTTAACACATTGTGTAACAAGAATTTGATCAACTGCAATGAAGATGATTTGGCTAACAAAACCTAAAATATTTACTAACTGGTTCCCCACAGAAAAAGGCTGTTGCTAGCTGGGCATGGTGGTGCACACCTGTAATCCCAGCACTTAGGAGGCTGAGGCAGGAGGATCTCTGCAAGTGTGAGGCCACCTGGGCTAAACAGCAAGTTCAGAGCCATCCTAAACTATAGAGCAAGACCTTGCTTAAGAAAAAAAAAAAAGAAAAGAAAGAAAGAAAGAAAGAAAGAAAGAAAGAAAGAAAGAAAGAAAGAGAAAGAAAAGAAAAAGACTGCTGACTGGATTTATATCATGCTTCAAGATGCAATAAGATAGCTTCCAAAAAACTGGGTCCAGTGGTTAAAGGACCAGAAGTAGATCTTTATGCTTGAGATGGTTCCTCAGGTTTTAAATTGGAAAGAGTATTTTTAATGTTTCAAGATACTACCATAATTTCAGCAAGAATTTGAGTGTTTGTAACGTGCCAAATTCTAAGAACTATCATCATTCACAAATTCTTGCCATTTCTAATGTGGATGAAACCAAGAGGCACGGTAACTTTCCAGGGTCACAGATGCTATGCCAGTCCTACCAACCAGAAGGTTCACTCTCCTTCAGGACAGAATTTCCTACTAAGTTTGAAAGCTGCAAATAAACCCCATCAAGAATAAAAATGATGTAATGCGACTATCAAATCCTAGTCTATGAAACCAGAACACTCAGACCTTACACAAACAAATCATTAATACCCACGTATTTAGATTAGTATTCCAACGTTCTTAACCTAATTTTTATCACATAATCATGCTGCTGGTAAATTACATGCAACATCAACAACTATAATACATTCACTTAATGCATTGCTGTACATCAATATACCATCTGGGCTCTTCCTTCTATCTGAGAAAAAGGCATGAAAGAGATATGTAGTCAGTTCCCTTTTACCTACAGGGAAAAAAATCACTTAAGGAGAACTAAACTGGTTATACGTCACTAAATGAATGGAGAAAGTTGGTATGAACATACTATTTTTTAATAAAGCTTTTATTTTGCAGTTTTAAGACATGGCAATTTATCTGGTTCCTTCCAATAGTAACATCTTGTGAAAGTACAGTACGATCTCAAAACCAAGATTTTTTTGGGGGGTGTTGCAGCGGATGGAACCCAGGGGTCTGCTTGCTAGGTGTAAGTGCTCTAGCACCGGTGAACTCCACTGACTGCCCCTCATAGCCAAGATCCCACCTTTGCTACAGACAAGATTGTAACACTGCTACCACAAGGGTCCCTCGCTCGCCCTTTAACAGCCACACCCTGCCTGCTTTCTCCATTTCCTGCCAACTTTCTATTCACCATCCTGTAAAGTCATTTCAAGGGTGCTGCATGAATGGACGCACATAGCATCTAACCTTTTCACATTGTTTTTTCTCCTTGATGCAATTTTCTGGAGGTGGCATGGATTTATTGCTTATTCTTTTTTGTTGCTGTAGTACTTTATGTTATATCCAGTGAAGGACATCTGATTGTCTCCAGTTTATTACAATTAAAACCACTATAAACATTCATTCACAAGCCAGGAGTGGTGACACATTCCTGTGATCCCAGCACTCTAGGAGGGTGAGGCAGTAAGACTGCAAGTTCTAGCTCAGGTTAGGCAACCCAGGGAGACTCCGTCTCAAAAAATCAAAAGGGGGCAAATACATGGGATGTAGCTCAGGGCATAGGCCCTGGGTTGAATCCTCAGGGATGAAAAAACAACTCAAACAAAAAAAAAAAAAACCCAAAACACAGAAAAAAAAAACAATTTTG